ACCCCGGGCGCCGATGGGCTGCCCCCCCCCGCCGGAGCCCCTCCGCTGCTTGGAAAGCCTCAGGGGAAGCTGGCGGGGGGGCATCCCAGGCGCGCATGGGCTGCCCCCCCTCCGGAGCCCCTCCGCGGCTGGACCATCTCCAGCAGACCAGGGACACCGGGAGCAAAGGAGGCGGAGGGGCGCTGGGGTATAAGATGAAACCCTATCTTTTAATTAAAAAGATAGGGGGTCGTCTTATACGCCCAGTCGCCCTATACGCCGGAAAATACGGTATTTGTTAAAGCCAAGTGTATAAGGGTTGGTAGCTCAGGCTCTGTGGCAGGCTGTTGCAGTTTGAAATAGCTGAGATATTAAACTTTAGAAAAGACAGAATTTTTGGAAGTGATATTCACTATGAAGGAAATATGGGCACCAGAGTAATTCAAGCAAAAACCAATAACAATTAATTGGCTACAATTATTCATTCCTATAGGTTCTTCTACACAAACTTTTGAGGCAGCCATGCATGGAATCCAACTATTATCTTTTTCTGACCACTTTATAATCAGTCACATTTTCACAGTATGATACCATAGCAGCAGCAGTGTCTACACAAAAAAACACATTTGGATGTATTTCGATCCAGCTACTGAGTAAGGACAAGTAAAGGTTAGTGGTAGGCTGCCCCTCACCAGCAACACCAGCAGTCACTATAGCAACAGCAAGAATAATAGGAGGAAGTTGGTATTGATCTTTCTATCCCTTGCTACTAGCATTCTTCAGCTTAGTGTTACACTATGTTGTTTACCGTACAATTGGCTACCATTACAGGAGCAGTTCATACATCCCTATGGTACAGAAGTTAGCTAGAAACAATAGTGCTAGTCAGGCAAGAGGGGTATAAAAAAAAGTACTGAGTTCTGGTCTAAGCACCCAAATACAACAGACAGCAAAACAAGCAACACAAGAGCAATCTGAGGAGGTCAGTAAGCATAGTCTTATTTTATGTGTACCCCATCTAGATTTCAAATTTCTTGTGCATTCTCCTTCCATCAATGTTAACTACTGATAACAGGCAAGTCACGGCAGTAACCGACCTAGATGCCAAAAACGGAAGTGGATTTGGCAAAGCCTGGTCTGTGCCTGTTACATTATGAAAGCACATTGTGGAATGGCATTGAGCCAAAAAAGCCAGAAGAGACAGCTTTCTTGGAACCATTGAAGAGACTTTCAAATTAACAATTGTGTAACTACAGTGAGATTGACACTCATAGATAATCAACTTCCAAAAGAGATTTTAGGCCAGACAGAGAAATTATCACTTATAATTTGTAGGACAAAAATACCACATATACTGTATGAAACTGTCAAATCATAGCACAGTATGTAGTCACCACACCTATATGGTATAGCTGCAAAATATTTTTCAGGGGGGCTATCTATGCTGGCAGTCTGAATAAGAGTAATAGATTGTAGCTAGCTGCATGACTTCATCTTCACCCTTAAAATTTCAGGTTAGGATAAGCAAAGAAGGAAGAATGGTTTAAAAGATGGGAATGAATTAGGAATGCTCTTCAGACCATTCCCCACAATATTTATAACCAGGACAAACTCCAGAAATGGCCTGAGGTAAACAGGATGAAGTTTAATATGGACAAATGCAAACCACTCCACTTAGGAAGGAACAATCAGTTTCACACATACAGAATGGGATGTGGCGAGGAGTCCTGTGGCACCTTATAGACTAACTGAAGTGTAGGAGCATAAGCTTTCGTGGGCAAAGACCCACTTCGTCAGATGCATGTAGTGGAAATTTCCAGAGGCAGGAATAAATATGCAGGCCAGGATCAGGCTGGAGATGACCAGGTGGATCCAATCAAGGAGGATGAGGCCCACTTCTAGCAGCTGATCTGGAGGTGTGAATTCCAAGAGAATAGAAGCTGCTTTTGTAGTTAGCAAGCCATTCACAGTCTTTGTTTAATCCAGAGTTGATTGTGTCAAACTTAAAGATGAACTGTAGCTCAGCAGTTTCTCTTTGAAGTCTGGTCCTGAAGTTTTTTTGCTGCAGGATAGCTACTTTTAGATCTGCAATTGTGTGTCCAGGAAGATTGAAGTGTTCCCCTACAGGTTTTTGTATGTTGCCATTCCTAATATCAGATTTGTGTCCATTGATTCTTTTACGTAGGGACTGTCCTGTTTGGCCGATGTATATAGCAGTGGGGCATTGTTGGCACATGATGGCATATATTACGTTGGTGGATGTGCAGGAGAATGTACCAGTGACAGTATGGCTGATCTGGTTAGGTCCTGTGATGGTGTTGCTGGTGTATATATGTGGGCAGAGTTGGCACCGAGGTTTGTTGCAAGGATTGGTTCCTGAGTTCGAGTTATTATGGTGCGGTGTGTAGTTGCTGGTGAGAATATGCTTCAGGTTGGCGGGTTGTCTGTGGGCAAGGACCGGCCTACCTCCCAAGGCCTGTGAGAGCGAGGGGTCATTGTCCAGGATGGGCTGAAGATCACTAATGATGCGTTGGAGAGGTTTTAGCTGGGGACTGTAGGTGATGGCCAGTGGTAGAAGTCGGCCTCATCCTCCTTGATTGGATCCACCTCGTCATCTCCAGCCTGATTTTGGCCTGCATATTTATACCTGCCTCTGGAAATTTCCACTACATGCATCTGACGAAGTGGGTCTTTGCCCACGAAAGCTTATGCTCCTACACTTCAGTTAGTCTATAAGGTGCCACAGGACTCCTCGCCGCTTTTGCAGATTCAGAGTTACACGGCTACCCCTCTGATGCTTGACAGAATGGGATATGACTGTCTAGGAAGGAGTACTGCAGAAAGGAATCTAGGGGTCATAGTGGACCATAAGCTAAATATAAGTCAACAGTGTGACACTGTTGCAAAAAAGGCAAGTATGATTCTGGGATGCATTAACATGAATATTGTGAGCAAGACACAAAAAGTAATTCTTCTACTCTACACTCCACTGAATAGGCTTTATCTGAAGTACCGTATCAGAGGGGTAGCCATGTTAGTCTGAATCTGCAAAAGCAACGAGGAGTTCTGTGGCACCTTATGGACTAACAGATTTATTGGAGCATAAGCTTTCGTGGGCAAAGACCCACTTCGTCAGATGCATGTCACATGCATGTCACGTGCATCTGATGAAGTGGGTCTTTGCCCACAAAAGTTTATGCTCCAATAAATCTGGAGTATTGTGTCCAGTTCTGGGTACATTTCATGAAATATTTGGAGAAATTGGAAAAGGTCCAGAAAAGAGCCAGAAAAATGATTAACGGTCTAGAAAACATGGCCTATGAAGGAAGACTGAAAGAATTGGGCTGTAAGCAGTTTTCAAGTACCTAAAAGGGTGTTCCAAGGAGGAGGAAGAAAAATTGATCTCCTTGGCCTCTGATGATAGGAGAAGAAGCAATGGGCAAAGGAGTTTTAGGTTGGACATTAGGAAAACTTCCTAACTGTCAGGGTGGTTAAACACTGGAATAAATTGCCTAAGGAGGTTGTGGAATGTCCATCACTAGAGATATTTAAGATTAGGTTAGACAGACCTCTATCAGGGAAGATCTAGACAGTGCTTGGTCCTGTAGTGAGAGCAGGGGACAGGACTTGATGATCTCTCGAGGGCCCTTCCAGTTCTAGTATTCTATTATTCTATTCTATGATTAAGGAATTAGCAAGAACAGTTACAACAATATGGTCCTAGCTAAGAATAGTAAGCAGATTATGTTGAAAAAGAAAGAAGAAAACACATTACTCTTGCAAGCCAGTAGATCCCTTCAGCCTTAGATACCATTGCCTTACTCCAATTGTTTTCATAAACTGATATAGGAATAGGAATAGAGAGATAGCCGTGTTAGTCTGATCTTGCTAAAACAAAAGGAAAAACTATGTAGCACTTTAAAGACTAACAAGATGGTTTAAGGAAATAACAGGAATAACTCTGTTGAAATCAATTATACCAGCGTAATACTGTAGTATTAAATAAGTTTACAATATGAGTGATTATAAAAATTATAAGTGATCACACTAGCACAGCTTCAGGGAAAAATGCCACCACTATGGCAAAGAAAATTCAAAGACAATGAAAATGTCATTTCACTTTTAGTCAAGTTTATTTTATTTTTTTATGTATTAATTATGCTTAAATGTTTACACTGAACAAAAAAGTACTGAACTTGGAAAACTAAACAATTATCAATACATTTCAAGTTTTAAAAATTATGTGGAGATAATTCTTAAATCATAATCCAAACAAATTATAACAGTATATGATATTTAAGTGCTCTGGGAACTCTGTTAATAACAAGCCTCCCATCATAACTCAAGGAAGCAAAAAGCCATGGGTCTGCTGAGGACCATTCCACTGCATATACACTGTCTTCATGTTCTTCATAGGTAGCTATTATGCTGTCCTGAAGGGGCTCTTTAGTCCTGGAATAAAAATAGAAAAGAGCAGTGATTGTACCTGATTTATAGGGCACTATAAATGTCACAAACAAAGAAAGATATACACATCCTGATTTACTGTACAGTACTGGACTCTGTGGACACACCATTATACACATACCAACCACTAATACTTAAGTTTTATAAAATATAGCATGATAATGTCAATGTTAAAATGGCCATTAGCAGAGAGCAGTGATTCTCATTTTCACTACCTATAATGTCAGTTATTTACAGTTCAAGGAAGTTCTAGGTCTTATCGAAGAAACAACGTACTGCCTATCCTAAGCAACTCCATCTTTAAATAAAATAATATAAGCTGCAGAGCATGACAAACAAACAAACAATTAAGTATATTAATCTGAAGAAAACTGTATGTCTAAAAAAAAGCCCTCAAACCCTGCTCCCCCAGATTTTTATCCATTTGCTTGTAATTTTACACCTGCATGTAACCAACTTAGGGACAGAACTCAATCTGACCCAGAGTGTCTTTTGACACAGCAGGCCTGATCCTGCAAAGTTCCCATAGGAGTCTTGAAGAATTAGACTATAATCTCAAGAGCAATGGAAAACTATACCATATTAACCTTTTCTTTTCTCCTGCCCATTCTACAGAAGTATATTAATATTGGTTCCAATGAAGAAGCTTTTTTGTTTCCTCACCTTATATATCACATAACATCTCTGAGCATTTGGGAATTTGAGTGTTCAAAGACAGGTAAGGTATTCTATACAATAAATGTTTTCAAAAAAAACAATATACATCATTCTTTAATTTCTAAAGTACACAATATGGATTGATACCATGATACTACAAATGTACTCTTTTTTTTCTTTATTCTGTTCTCAGATCCAATCCCTTTTTTCTATCAGTATATTATTGTGTAGGTTGCTGGGTAGATGTACTGAGTTTTCAATGGAGGATACAAGATTTCTCTCCTGTCAACGACAGAAATCATTGAGGCTTTCAGAAGCATCCCCCTTCCTCCTAGAAACAGATTGGTAGCTCAGCAGCCATCCTTCTACCAGAAGGATATGACAGGGAACCTATGAATTCCACTCAATCACTACACAGATACAACTATGATACGAATTAAGTGTTGTTGTTGGATGTCTCTGCGCTTTTTCAGTAGCCTTACAGTGTTCAAAGCACGAATTTGTATGGGTATGTCTACACTACAGCATTATTTTGAAATATCTTATTTCAAAATAGCTTATTTCGAAATAATGTGTCTGGACACAAAATGCATTTCGAAATAGCATTTTGCTATTTCAAAATAGCACGTCCACACTGATAGGACGCTGAATTGCATTTGAGGCAGGTCGGAACCGGTTCTGGCAGGGCATCAGGTCAGGAGTTACCTTGTGTGGCTGCTGCCTGAGGCTATCTGAGACCTGTGCTTAAAGGGACCCCCTCACTCCCCGGACAGCCGGTTCTAAGGTTTCCCTGCTTGCTTGCCTACCTCGCTGAGGGACAGCAAAGCATTTTTTTTCTCTGAGTGCTCTGGTTGCCCTCACTCAGAACACCACAGCATTCTACAGCATGGAGATGGAGCACTCTGGTGCTTCTCCTGGACGTGTTGCTGCGAGCCTGGCAGTACGTTCTGCAGGCGGTAACAGTCTCCCTGGTATACCCCACTGGGGGCTTGTGCCTCATTCCTCCCTCATGTCCTTCCACTTATCCCTCCCTAACCCCACTTTCTGCTGTACAATAAAAGACACATATGTTCATTACAACAAAGCCTCTTTATTGAGCAAAACTGGGGTGGGGAGAAAGTAAAACTGAGGTGAGACTGGGGAAAGAAGGTGGGAGAGTGGAAGAGGGAGGGTGGGAGAGGGAAGGGGGAAACCTGGGAGGAGGGAGCTGGCAGGGGGATGCATGGGGAGGAAGAAGCTCAGGCTCAGGGTTGGGGGGTCTCACCGGCCTCGGCATCCCTGGGGATATGGGGAGGAAGAAGTGGGAGGGGGAGAAGGAGTGGGAGGAAGAGTGGTAGCAGGGCTAGAGCAGCAGGAGGCAGCAAGCTCTGCCCCAGGGTCGATGACCACCTGGGGGGCATGGACCATCCTGCCCCCCAGGATGTGGTCCACAGCATTAAAATAGGGGTAGGGGTCTGGGTCTGCCCCTGGTTGGGAGCTGCCGCCAGTGGCCCTGGCATATGCCTGCCGCAGCTCCTTTATTTTCATGCGGCACTGCTGGGCGTCCCTGGTGAATCTTTTCTCCTCCATATCCTTTGTGATCTTGGCATAGATATCTGCATTTCTTTTGCTTGTTCATATCACCGCCTGTAGACGGTTGCGTTCCTCCATTTAATGTGGAGATCATGGACGTTGGAGGCATCCCCCCAAACCTGAATTAGATCCCTGATCTCCGCATTGGACCAGGCAGGCGCCTGCCTTTTCCAGCCCCTGGCAGGCTTCTGGGAGCTGGCAGACTGGTCCTGGGGAGGGCTGGCTGGCACTGGCTGCCTGGCTTATCCTGGGGCCACTGGGTCAGGTGCAGTGCGGAGCTGGCAGGCTTGGAGCTGGCACAAGCACTGTGGCCAGAGTCTAACCCTTTAAGGGCTCTGGGAAGGGAGGGGGGAAGGGAGAGGAGTTTTCTTGGTTGTGCCCAGAGTGGCCATCAGGGCACCATGGGAAGGGCTGGAGGCCCCCTATTTCGAAATAGGCAACTACACAGCGCTTATTTCGAAATAGCAACTTTGAAATTGGCGCAATTCCTTGTGGAATGAGGTGAAAGAATTTCGAAATAAGCCCTCCGCTATTTCGATTTAATTTCAAAATAGCGGTTTGGCTGTGTAGACACTGGTAAAGTATTTCGAAATAACAGCTGTTATTTCAAAATAATTTTGCTGTGTAGACATACCTTATAAGAACAAGTGTAAAAACAAATATGGTATTACATTTGTTTGGCTCACAGAGCTGCATAGTCCATCTAACCAGCTGTGAATTTAATATCACAATTAATATTCAATTCAACTAAAAAATTAATAAAACTAACAACTGCAGTGTGATTCATGATATTTAATTTCAAGGACCATCATCTTTCATTTAAACTATTTTAAGGAAACTACCATAACTGTTACAGAAGAAATGAGATACAACTTATTGGTTGACTATGAAGAGTATCAAGTAAGCCAACAATGCACATTTCATCTCTAGTGTTTTTCTAACTTCTTGTTAACTCATACGGTTGATTAAGAGAAAGTTGGTCATGTCCCTTGATAGCCATGTGCCTCACACAATGCTCACCCACCTATCCAAAACTCCATTATTCTGAAGGTTTCAGATATCTCTATGGAGAAGCAGGGGAGCAATGCATGGTGCATATTGCTCTCAAGGGACATGACCGACTTTCAGTTAACCAAGAATTGCAGTTAACAAGAGGCTGGATAAACAGGGATGGATAAACTGTGAGCTTACACTATTTTCTCTAGAAAAGGTGTGACTTTGGTATATAAATTCAAATAATATATTTTGTATTGTTTAATATAAAAAAGGATTGTATTTTCAGAAAAGAAGTCTTGCCTTAGCAGATGAACTAATATTTTGCATTTCAGTTCAACTCTGCTCTTTTAAACACTAATGTATTGTTCTTACTTTGATTAATTTCCCTCTGAGGATTAAAAGTAACCAGGCAATATTCAAAAGGAATGCATATTACCAAAAATAATTCAGATCACATGAGCTCAGGACTGGACATGGTAGAATTTTACAGTTTTTTTTCTCCATAATATAGGCCTGGTCTTGGGATATTTTGATTAAGGAGATGAAGGAGCATCTTACAAAAAAGACTACATGGTATACAAGATGCTCAGGCAAACACTGAACACAGGATGAAAATAACTGCTGGAACAGCACAAAAGGTCTAGTAGAAATTTGCTTGTACTTCTGCTACTTCTGGCCTCAGAGATATTTCACATGTTCTAATAAAAGAAAATAAGAAATTATCCTTTAAATTGTGCTACCTGGCTAGTTTTCCCAATGAGGATGCCCTAGTATAAACAGTAACAAAATAAGGACCAATATAACTGAAATATGAGGGTGCCAACAGAAGAAGAAATCAGAACAAAAGAAGCTGGATTTTTTAGAAGAGAAATTTCTTCGAGACAGATCATTAACAGATCATGTTATTACTTGTTCAGAGACAACCAAATAAATATCTGCTGGGTATCCTGTGTCTTATATTATCCTCTTATATCCCAGAAGATATGCAATTTGACACCGTGTAAAGCCAGGATATTCACAGATCAGTTTCAGAATCCTAGGACAGAGGTTTTACTTGCTTGTTTTGATCAAGTTGAAAATCAATGTTATGCTGACTGAGAAGCAGCTGATATGCCCATGGGTCAATACAGTAAGATTTAGACTGGACAGGGTGGACAAAATCTACTGCAGCCAAGGAAACTGATGTTTTCATAGACACTAAGCAAAGTGAGCGGTCAGTCAAGAAAAAAAGACTGAGCAGTTCATCAAGAAAACCACAGGAAAATCAAGATTTAGATACAAACATTTATCTAAGGGTATGTCTATATGTGTAGAACTGCAGCGACAGGGCTGTAGAACCTGTGATGAAAATGCTCTATGGTGACAGGAGAGAGCTCTCCTGTTGACATAAAAAGCCCATCCATGCAAGTGGTATAAGTTATGTCATTGAGAAAAGCTCTCCTGCAGAAATAGTATTGTCCACATGAATGCTGCTTACACAAATGGAGAATTCAAACCACTGAACGGCAGATTTTACTGATCTAGGTTGTAGAATAGACAGAGTAAATCTGCTCTTCAAAAATGTTTCTGTATTTGATTATCTATCACAGCTTTATAATTCCCTGGCATAGCACTAACAGCATCATGCTTAAGTATGCAATTGCTTGACTCATAAAATCAGGGGTGGGTAATAAGCTGCCCATAGGCTAGACACGGTTTGCCAGGGTTAGATGATGGTGGGCCACCAGATGCTTTACTTACCTGCATGTCTGTCTGCACGA